CAGCGGTAGTGAAAGTAATAATTGTTTAAAAGGAATAATAAAAATATTAATTATTAAAATTGACTTAACTGAGTTAGAAAAGACTCGCCGGAAATAAATTGGAATGGCGGTAAGTCAAAGTGTCATAAAAGAATCTCGTTAAATTTAAATTAAAAATAAAAACTCTTGGATGCCTGAATATTCTCTCATTAATATTTTCTGTTTATATTTTCCATTTTGTTAATTTGAATTAATGTTTTACTTTATTAGAATAAATCGAATTGTGTGATATTAAATTTAACTTCGTGTTTATTTATTTATTATTAAAAGTCATCCTACGAATCCACTTGGCCGGGTAAAATAAAATTACATAAATATGGCAAATAATTAATTTCTAAAGCCAGGCGCTCACATATAATTACCAAGATCGCCTTTATTTCCTGTCAGTAGTCGAGTGGTCCCTAGCTCGATTTAAAGTCAATTAAAATCATTTTGTAATTATTAAAAGAATTATTGACAGGTTATAATATTTTACCAAAATTTTAAGTCAAACCTTTTTGAAATTAAACATCTTATAAAAAAATTGTTATAAAGCATGAGAGTATCGATCACTCCGAGTCGAAGACTCGGAGCAATCGATGTCTTCATGTTATAATAATTAAAAATGTTGGACTGATAAAATCATCATTTTATACCTATTATCAGAATATTGTTACTGTAACTTATTCAAAATTGCTTTCATTATTTTAATTCAATTATTGTTTTCCACAATTTTTAACTAAAATTCTTCTTTATAAAGCGTAATTTAATTGTTATTAATAATTTCTAAAAAATTTCTTTCAACATTTTCAAATCCTTTTGTTCACAATTCAATTTTACGAAATTTCATCGATTATTCAGGCATTCGGAAATTCTTCAATCAAATATATATTAGAAAATAAAAACTTTAAATAACTTCAAAAAAAAAATTCAGTTCAACTTTTACAAAAAAATTAAATCTACACAATTTTGAGTTAAAAGTATGAAAAATTCAAACATTCAAAGATTATAATTTGAGACCTGCTTTTCAATGCTCAATTTATTATTATCTAAAGTTTTAACTGAAATTCATATTTCAATCAATTATTATAAAAAAATTCGAATTTCAATAAAATTTTTAAGAATAATTTCATTTTTCGAGAAATTAGATTAAAAATGTATTGAAAATAATTGAATCTCTGTAAAAAAAAATTTTCGTTGAATTGAAAAAGTTTCTGAAAATATTTGAAATTTTGTCAAGAATTTTATTAAATTTTTTTTAAATTATTGAAATATTGCCAAGAATTATTAAAATTTTTGAAAATAATTGAATTTTTTGAGAAAAATGTTAATATTATAATGATAATTGAAGTTTTGACTGTAACTTTTTCTAAACTTTTGACCATAATTGAATTTCTGTAAAAGTTTTATTATTTTATGAATAAACCAGAAATTTTATTCCAAACCGGGAATTCTTGCACCGAATTAGAAAAGTTTTATTATCTTAATTTGTATTTAAAATCGTTTTTTTATAAACAAAAACCGTTCTCTAAAATTAAATTAGTTAAAAATAATTAATTCACAGTAAAAATCAGTCACTGATTTAAATATTGTATGTAAACAAATAAATATTTAAAAATTGTCCAATTAATAGAAATTTCGTGAAGGGTGAAGTTGATTGCGGAGTTTCGATTATTTTAAATACAATTTGGGTCAAACTCCTCGAAAGGGGTAATTAATTAAAAAAAAAATTATAATTTGCAAGAAAACCTAACCACTTTTCTCAACTAAGGACTCTACAGTGAGTGAATTCGGTTCGGTGTTCGTGTTGCGCTTCATAGAATTGGACTTTTATTAAAAGATAAATTTTGTAAGCTTACCTTACGATTATGAGATCTAGTCCAACTAAAATCCTTCACTCCCGAGAACCAAGGCGCACTATAAGAAAGACAAGCGTAGAACCAAAAAACGAATTGTTGTGTCTAACGAAAGGAAAAGAATTTCTAATCTCGCCACAACGAAGTGTTTGTACGACTGAACACGTGTAGGGCAATAGCCAGCGTACTCACCGCAACAGTCAATCCCCCCTTGAACAGCCAAGGACCCATTAGGCTTAATGTATAGTTAACGAGCGGAGGGCGACGTGACTTTTCAATAGGAAAATGAGTTTCTCTCAAAATCAGACTTTCTAAAATTAATCTCCCATATTAAAAAAAACATATATATATTTCTATTTCTAGAGCTGCAATTGCAACTACATTTTATTTATATTTAATAAAGTTAAAACTTAATTATTCCAAAAAAAATTTCTTATTATAACGTTTCTCATATTCAAGTATTTTGAAAGCTTTTATTGGAATTCCTTATAAATCTAATTTTGTATTTAAAAAATTACTTTTAAACATAGAAAAAAAAAGAAAATTTTCCTATTTTTTTTAACTTTAAATTTGAATGATTATCATTATTTACTTGCCTGCAGGGGAATTGAAATTTCAAAAAGCTTTGAGTTAAAGAAAAACAGTTTGAAATCTAATTAATTCTAAACATTAAAATTATGCAATTTTCTGAATTTTAAGTATTTTCTGAAATTTTAAATGAAATTCTTTTAGAAATTAATTCCTATCTAAAGATTCTACTAAAATTAAACTAATTAATTACCAAAATTAATTCTGTAAAATTCTGTAATTTTACGAAAACACGAATCACGTTTACGACCTTGACATGACATGACTTTTGACATGACGACTTCACCCCTGACAAATAATTTGGAATCAGAAAATCGTAATTTCACTTGAGTACAGAAATTTATTAGTATATAAATAATGATAATTATAATAATATATTTATTGATCAACATTCCTGAATATTCAAATAAATATTTTTGTTCAATTTTGCTTCTTCGTGTGAGTGCAGTTCTTTTAAAATTTTTTTTATTTGCTACAAATAACTATAATACATTATGATAATTTAATAAAGATATAAAACAATTGTAAAAAAAGGAGAAAAGAAATTTCTTTTTATATATAAATGAACGAAACCATTTTCCAATTATTTCCTTATGAAAACTAGAAATATGTTTTCTTGAAAGAAAAGTCGTGTGGCAGCCTTGCATTTAACACTTGACAATTGCGAGTTAAGCGTGCACAAGGAGTATCAGATTACCCACGGCTTTATTCGACACTCCGACCATTATAAGTTTATCTAAATTCTAACGCACTTATAATGACTGGCGGCAACGAAACACCTCAACTAGAAGAAATATTTTTTTTTCTTTAGTCTCCAACTCTCTCTAGTTTTCTGTCAGTGTAATCAACTACGCTGAACCAACTCTGAATTCTATGAGGTAGATATGTTGTTTCGAATCAATCTATAAAAGTGAATTCTGCATAACAGTTCTATAAGCAGTTCTTAGATTGATTGCTGAAAAAGTATGAAAATAATTGAAATTCATATTTAGAATTAATTAAAAAATATATATATATAAATAGTTTGTATAAATTTTATTAAATAGTGGAATTTTGTTGAAAGTTTTCGAAAATACTACTTTTGAATTAATTAAATTATTTGCGCAACCTCATGAAAAATACTAGATGTTGGAAGTAATTGAATTTCGAGTATTCTTTTATTTAATTTTAAAGAGTTTGCTTATCATTTTTGAGAATAGTCTCTTATTTCCAGTATTAGCAAATTAAGGTAATGAAGTTTATCTAAGAAAATTATCATTTATATTCTTTGTTCAAAAGGTTGAGCATTATAATTTCCTTTTACCTCCTCTATTCTTCAGAGTAATTAAAATTTTCGTAATGGGGATTATTTTTAATTTGAAAATGAAAATATCAAATAATAATTTTTTTTTGCGAGATTCAATTTTCTTCGTACAAGAGAGCTAAATTATCTTCAATTTAGAAAACTAATATCAATTTGAGATTAGTATTAAAAACTGTTAAAAGTTTTTTTTATTGTTTTAAATTTAAGGCAACATAAATTGAAAATTTAACTCTAATTAGTTTTCAGTTATGTGTCGTAATAATTATTTCTTGATACTGAAATTAAAAGAACTTGAAACTATTTATAATAACCAGTACAATTTAGAGCCTTGTAGCCATCAGCTGCTCGGGAGGTTGGTGTCTGGGATTTTCGTTACAATAAATTCTACACTACGAAATTGCATAATATAATTTCCTTTAATGTAAAACAATTAGTTTCGTAATTTATTAATTAACATAATTTTAACTTAAAAAAATTTTTTTTTTAAAGTTTAAAGGAAAAAAAAATATATATATATACAGTACCGTCCGAAATTGTCAGCCCACCCATTTTCAAAGGAATGACAAAAATTTTTTAACATCTTAGGCTTATTTTAAAGATCATTTTCTACAGAATAAGAATTACTTATAGGCATTAACCTGTAATTTTTAACTTGGAATAAGCATGACGTCAAAGTTGGACAAAAAAATTCAAAAAATTTGAAATAATATTATTAAAAGAAAAATAATTTTTGAAATTCAAACATATATTTTTATTAAATTTTCTTGAAAAATCTACACCATATCATGTTTTATATATGTTCTAGAATAGTTTTTAGTACAAAAAATTGATTTCAAATTTTTCCAATTTTTTTGTCTAATTTTGACGTCATGCTTATTCCAAGTTAAAAATGACAGGTTAATGCCTATAAGTAATTCTTATTCCGTAGGAAAAGACCTTTAAAATAAGCCTAAGGTTATTGAAAAGCGTTCATTATTTTAGAAGTTATTTAAATTTTTGTAAAACATTGAAAATGACGATTTTTAGGAATATCTTCTACAAATTTTGGCCAAATGACTTCTGTAAGGTCTTATTCTTTTCAAAATTTTATCGTCTTTCAAAATATAAACCAAAAAAAATTTTACTTTTCATGAATTTTATGTTAAAAAATTTTTGTCATTCCTTTAAAAATGGGTGGACTGACAATTGCGGACGGTACTGTATATTTTATAAATAAAGAAGGGCTGGTACATTCCTTAGAACCAGTCCTCCTCACTCTCCTCGGCACCAGCATCCGCGCAGTTTTCCTCAGGAGACTTGTTGATACAATCTCCGGCCAAATAGCCCTCCGGACCGATCATTTTCCATGACCCGGACAATTCTACGTTATAGACCTGAAAGCAAAATGGGGTTCGAAGTACTCCAAGAAAAGCTCGAGTTTTAGGCAAGGTTAAAGCGGCGACACTTACTAGTTGCCATGAGCCAGCCTGCCTGAATACGCCCGCCGCAGTTTTAAAAAAAACCTGAACAAATGTCAGGCGGAGAGAATTGTCCTCGGGAAAGAATCCTTCGCTCGGCGGAAACTTGGGGAGAGACCCGAACAAACTAAGAACAAATAGGTTAAATAACTAATAATAATTAAAAAAAAGAGGGGGGAGAAAGGGGTTTAATTTAATTTAAAAAAAAACTAACCAGGTTTCCGTTTTTGTAGAATTCACGCTGTTCCGCATCATCAATTGCGATGATGGATGGTTGACCAGCAAAGGATGTTTAAAATCTTTCTAGAAAACAATAGAAAAGGGACATATGTTATAGATAAAATAAGAACAATTGAACCGGGATACGTATTGGTAGGAATAGATGTATCAACTCACAGTGGCCCAGAATCCCCTCACGTTGTATTTTCTCCAACCGACATTCCAAGAATACTCTTGGTGCCAGCAGCTTCGTGAGTATGGCCTGGCACCCACAGTATTCCGCAGAAACCCGCTAAAATACCAGAACTCGTTCGGAGTTTTCCTTAAGGGAGCCTCTTCCCATTGACCGAAATTAACCATGAATCTAAAAATATATATATATATGTATATATAATTTAGAATATGTATTATTATTATTAATTTTATTTATATAATTTATATATTTAATTTATATATATATATATATATATATATATATATATATATATATATATATATATATATATATATATATATATATATATATATATATATATATAATAATAAGTATGTCACACAGATTCTTACTATTATTACACTTATATGTTTGTAAAAAGTAAAAGTATGTAATGAATAACGAATGAAAACTTATTATCAATATTATCTAATCATATATTCTCCTTATCATTCTAGGTTATAGTGATGCAAAAGATAAATAAAACAGGTGAAAATGATTCGTATGATTTTTAAATTTAGTTAGAGTTCGTAGAGTTACAGCACATCTAGATTTTATTTATACCTATGTCGGTAAAAAGGAAATTTACCTAAAAATATCGAAACCACGTTTATATATAAAGGTAAGGTAAGGGTGTTTCTTCAATCACTTAAAAATCCATTACCTTCAGTTTGTCTGATTTAAAGTGAACTTTTTATCTACATACATGTAATTGAAACGCATTCTGTAAGATAATTTTAATGAAAGTTACACTTTACCGGAACTTTAAAATATGCCAAAATGTATGTTTTTAAGGTTAGGAACATCTGTTTTTCACTAGCTACACTAGCTATCTGGCGTCACACCTGAAATCGACTCTGATGTCACAACTGAAATAGATTAATTAATTTGTAAAATAAAAATTTTCCACACCTAAAAAGTGTCACTTGAACGTGATATAAAAAAGATTTTTTTAAATACTCCTATATATTTGTAGATGAAAAAAGTACTAAAATGTATCAAATTGTTCATAATTTCAATTTCTTTATTTTTGCAGAACGAAAAACGTAATTGTCAGTCTAACGCAAATAAAAATTAAATTTACTGTGTTTTAGACTTTAAGAAATCGTTTTTTCTTGGCTTAGGCATTTTGAAATAAAACACTTAACAATTTTTCTTTAATAAAAAGCTTTTTTTAAACCTAAATAATTATAGTGTTTATTAAAAACATAAAGACGGTACGTCAAATTTAAAATAATATTAAGTCCGCCATAATGAACGTGTCATTTACAATATTTTACAGTTTATTACGTAAAATACCTCATTTAAGGTACTTTATGTAGAAAGCCTAAGGCTGCGGTTACACCTCTGCAGGCAGCCTGCCTGCCTGCAGGTTGTCATGGTAACGTACAAGAGTACAATGCAAATTTTCCTTTCTGGACAATTTTTACAGAAGGTGTAAACGCTCCATAAAGTGACGCGTCACTTCCCATCTCTACTACACAGGCAGGCAGTTACCAAAGGTGTGAGTGCACCATTACATTACAGCTCTAGAATGTTAAAACGCAACCCTGATGCGATTCGTCCCAATGCTAACCAAATGGGAATAACTAATTTAATACTTTTTTTTATTTTTTATAAATTAAATAAATAACTTTAAAAAATATTATAATACTTAATTTTTTAAATTAGTTAATTACAAAATGATATAAAATAACATTATTTGTGTCAAAATAGAAATTGTCACAAAATATTTTAGGACAATTAAATATATTTGCATCAATGATTAAAGACATTTTAAACGGTGCTCATTGGTTATTTAAAAATAGTTCAGGAAATAACCCCGAAGAAACCTTGTAACCGTCTATAACCGCAGTCGAATAATTTTTATATACTGCATGCTTTTATGCAGTTTAAAAACACTGTTTACAGATATCAGATAAAAATCTACCGATATTAATATCAACACAACTGTTCTTTTTTTGCATGGAAGCAAAATTTTTTTATTTGTTTTAAACCGCCGTTAAAGTTTTTGGAAATTATATAAACTAATAATATCTGCGCAAGCGCGAATTTATTATTTTTTTTATTTCCATTTATTATTTTTCTTTCACTTTTATTTATTATTATTTATAATATTATAATATATAAATAAAATTAGTTATTTTAAAAATTTGTATCTCTTGTAAGATAAGGAAAGGTTACGAATTTTCAAACAGATGAAGTAAGGGTGGAGTCCCATGACAGCGTTTTGCATTGCGTCGTAATGGGAGAGAAAAAGACGAAAATATACGTTTGCTGCATTCTCTCTCATTACAACGCAACGCAAAACGGTGCCATGGGACTGCACCCTGAGAAGGTGAAGGTGAAGTCCAAAGGCACTGTCGCGTCACAGATTTAATGTCGCTATTTATTTCCGTAAGATCCGTAATCTAACGAATAGGCTGGATTCTTTTGCTTTTAGTACCGCTTGAAAGCGGGAATTGAATTTAAATTTGAATTGTTATTCAACTGATGTTGCGGGATAAATAAATAAATGTACACTGTAATTGATTGGAAAAACCCCTTTCGGGTAAAAAACCAATTTTATTTAAGTTCAAATATTGTTTCTTTAAATAAACACTTCACAAACTTTATTTTTACAAATAATTGTTGAATCGTTAAATATTTAACTTAACGATTTAAATCGTTTGTCGAATGCTTAATTTAAGCTTAGTTTATTCACACTTAATAAACTCGTTGATTTAACAATGTGTAATACTTTAAAAGATATGCACTAACAAGTAGTGGTTTCTTCTCAAGTCTCGGAAATTGTCTGAGTCTTTGGGTCTCAGGCGCTCTCTTTATATACTCAACGAAAAAGGGGGAGGTTTACCCTCCCCTTTTTGTTTAAGGGGTTACACCACTGTAGACATTAAAAAAAATTTTTTATTTTTTTATTAGCTTAAAAAATTTTTTGAACCTTCTAGAATAAGGAAAAAAAGGATTTATACATGTCTGAAATCGATTTCATTGAAATTTCAAGCTTTTTTAACGGAGAAGAATTTTAACTTACATAAAACATGCATTACAAAAATGGCTCCGGTGCGGACATTTTGGAATATTAATTAATTAAAATTTGTAATTTTTAAGTTGAATATATAAGTTAATAACTATTTAAAATATTGTTACTGTATTTCCTTTCCTTACACTAAAAAAAATTATTAAACAAATGCTTCTTACAGCCCGCTGTAGTAGTGTTGCTCTTTTTACGCGTTTTTCTCAAAACACAGTTTTTGAAATCTGCAAGCAGTATAACTCAAACAATTTTCAATATTTTCAATCGGGTTTTTTTATTACATTTCTAAAATTAAATTTTAAACAGAAATACGTAGGGGTTTTTTGATAAGTTAATTTACACAATTGTTATAAACAATTAAGTGCCGTTTTTTTGGTCGAAAAATGAGTTTTTTCTTCAAATGCTTGCCAATTACACAAAAATCAATATTTTTAAAATCCCCTACGTATTTCTGTAGCTATTCTCATGTAGATTAAGAAAAAAAATTTATTTGTTTCCAGACTGAAATTTATATTACTTATACTGCTTGCCGTAGAGCTCCTGGGAAAAAATATGCATTACTAAAATGGTTCCTGCGCCGCCATTTTGGAATATTTATTAATAAAAATTTGTAATTTTTTACTTGAATATACAGTCAATAACTTCCGAAAACACTATAACTATATGTTATTCCCTTCCATTCAAAAAAAAATCCCTGAAAAAACGTTGTTTTTGAGGCATTTACAGTGGTGTAACCCCTTAACCAATCATAGCGCTGATGACGTGGCACTCGACCAATAAGCGTTGAACATTCAAGGTCAAGTTATTGCGCATTTACAAAATGACCAAAATAACGACACGTGTTTATATATATTCAAGGTTAAATTAATACGCATTTAACAGATCCCAAGGTTAAATTATTACGCATCCCACAAATGACTCATTATTGTCAGTTATTCTACTGCGCAGTTTTTAACTGCGCAATAAAATAACCGTCATACGTAGACTTACAATATAATTTTACAGTTTTCCTTATAAATAATAAGAAGTACAAATTCAGTATTTTATAATCATAGTTTTGTTCTATTTTTCAAATATTTAATACATATTCCTTAATTAATTAAACACTAATAATAATAAACTTAAATTAATATTAATATAATTAATACTATATTAAATTACAGTCCATAAAATTATTTATAATAATCTTATAATAACCTATAATAATACAACGATTATACGATAAAGAGAGAGAGAACAATTGTCAATTTAAGGTCTTTTCCATAATAATAATAATATTCAATAGTAATATATACATATATTACTTTAGATATTCAAATTTGAATCCTCCAAGATGACAATTGAAAATTCCTAGTTCATTTATATAGAATTTAAAATTTCCTATAAAATTTACTAGGCATTGATGCCAGATGCCACAGGCACCGTTTTGCGTTGTGTTTTGTAACTAGGCCATGAGTGTAAGTGAGATGGATATATATGTTGGCTATATTTGCACTCATGGCCTAGTTACAAAACGCAACGCGAAACGGTCCCATGGGACTTCAGCCTAAGAAATTCTCCAATTTGATGTGAGCGCTATACACAGCCTTCAACGGTAATTTTTATAACTACAGTTTACAGTGTTTTTACTGTTCATTCGCTAAACACAAGAATTCAATAAACAAAACAATTTTATTGTGAAAAATAAAGTTATAAACAGTGAAATTAATTATTTCGCAATTTCAAACAGTTAATAAGAATGACACTAACATCAAAAAGTGACACAAGGAAGAGTGGACGTCCTCGATTGTCCAAAACGCCTCTTTGAAGAAAAAAAAGTGCAATTGCAAAGTAAGTCTGATTATTTTCGATGCATGTATATTTATAGTGCGGTAAATTGAGAGCTCGTCTCTAGCAAATATGATTTTTCTCTTTATTCTAATCCCAGGAGCATAAGAAAAAAAAACAAAATTTATTTAAAAATTTCGGTTCAATTTTTTTCACTATAAATTGATATTCGGTTAACTAATGGTTTCGTCCTATTTTCAAATATGCCTTTTCTACTTTACTCTACTTCCAGGGACATAAGAAAATATAGTACACTAGACCGACAGATTGGCTCAGTCGGATAGATGCCTGGCGTTGGTGGTCGTTTAAGGACCAAGGGTATAAGTACCCTTGGTTCGCGCCCATTTGTCTTGGTATTTTTCCGGCACGTGAGATAATCTGAGCGGGAGATTTGACGTCGAGGTATAATGATGTGCACCGTCGATTATTGTCCGGTACACACCATTAGAACTCGACTGTCGATAAACCGGTTGTACTCAGGAGAGGTTTTCTACCGTTTCCCTCTTCTCTGGCGAGAAAACCCATTGACGGGTGGTCCAGGCGTAATGCGAGTACTCCTAATAAAGTCGGCTGTAGACGCAAATTAGGTTAATATATAGAAAATTTCTAAGTAGAATGGTTATGCTTAATCCAAAAAAGTATTTCTCGGGGACTCTTGTCGAAGTGCGTAAGGCCAATAGGGCAGGAGGATAAACAATAAAAAAAATATATATATATTACACTACTTATTTTTAGTCTAGAAATAAATATAAATTTTCTTCAACATTTCTCCAATTTTTTGCAATAAAAAAAGATTTTTTCTATCCAATGTTCTCGTCCTCTGTCAATTATGCTTATCTACTTTATTTTACTCTCAGCGGCATTAGAAAAACTTGTGCAATATGTATTTTTAGTCTGAAAAATAGAAATTTTCTTCATAATTTTTCCAATTTTTTACAATAAAACTTAATTTTTTGCTAACCAATGTTCTCGTCTACCGTCAAAATTGCTTTTTCTAGTTCATTCTACTCCCAGCGGGAAAAGAAAAAATAGTGCACTATTTATTTTTAGTCAAGGAAGAAAAATAGAAATTTTCTTCAAACTTTTTCCAATTTTTTTCAATAAAAATTAATTTTTTGCTAACCAATGTTATAATAGAGATTTTTTTAAAAAATTTTCAAATTTTTTTCAATATAAATTGAATTTTTGATAACTAATGTTCTAATCTTCTGCTTTTATATGCTTTTACTTTATTTATTCAAGGAAATAAATAGAAATTTATTTAAAAATCTTTCCAATTTGTTGAAACAAATATTAATTCTTTGCTAACCAATGCTCTACTGTTAAATTTGCTTTCTCTAGATTATTCTTTTCCCGGGGCATAAAAAAGAATAGTGCAACACTTATTTTTAAACAAGGAAAAAATAGACATTTTTTCAAAATTTTTCTCAATAAAAATTAAATTTTTGCTAACCAATTTTTTTTCTACTGTGAAATTTGTTTTTTCTTGTTTATTCTACTCTAAAGAACGATAAAAAAAATAGTGCAACATATATTTTTAGTCATGGAAAGAAATAGAAATTTTCTTTAAAATTTTTCCAATTTTTTTCAATAAAACTTCATTTTTGCTAACCAATGTTCTCGTCTACAGTAAAATTTGCTTTTTCTAGTTTATTCTACTCCGAAGGGGGATAAGAAAAAATAGTGCAACACATATTTTTAGTCAAGGAAAAAAATAGAAATTTTTTTCAAAATTTTTTTTAATAAAACTTGATTTTTGCTACCCAATGTTCTCGTCTACAGTAAAATTTGCATTTTTTAGTTTATTCTACTCCCAAGGAGCATAAGAAAAAATAGTGCAACATTTGTTTCTAGTCTACACGGAGAGAAGGTTGATCGTAAAATCACGGTGTAATCAGAGTCTTAGGCGATGAATGGAAACTCATCATAATTTTCTACAAGATGTAGCGCTCTCTGACGGTTACTGTCACTGCCACTTGCGATTCGTGAATGGAAAAACTCGATGAAATCACTCAGATTTACCGTGAACTTTCCCCCTCTTTTAACCTTCTGAATTAGACACTGTCTTTTACGGTTCAAATTTCTCTCCGTGTAGGGGAAAAATAGAAATTTTTTTCAAAATTTTCCAATTTTTGTCATTAAAAATTTAGTTTTGCTAACCAATGTTCTCGTATACGGGGAAAATTTTTTGCCCTTGTTTATTTATGTTCTTGTCGTTTATGAGATATGCTTTATCTACTTAACTCTACTCCCAGGGGAATAAGAAAAAATTGTTGACTATTTATTTTAGTTAATGTTAAAGTAGGATTTTAGAAATTTATTTAATTTGTAAATATTAATTTTTAAAAACTTCAACTAACGTGTCCTTCGGACGAAAATCGTATAGGTAGTGGATTCCCCCTCTACTTAGTTATTAATTCAACTAAGAGGTTGAGAACCCTACTCCTTGAATTTGGAGAAGATATGATAGTTTTATAAGGTATTTTAAATTAAATAGAAACAATAGATTTTAGACAAACGTTAAGTATATTAAATCCCAAAAATCCCTAATACATGAAATGTCTACTTTCTGTCCTTCTGAATGAAAGAAAGTGTAGTGTGTGTAATAAGAGTAGTATATGTGTGGTGTGTAACAAAATACAATACTCACAACTGGACAATTCTGCTTACTAGTCACTTCATTCCAATGTTAATCTTCTTGGTTTTTCTCAATATTTCTTACGTAAGCTTTTCCCGGAAATTCGGAAATACCAGATCTAGGATCACTAGATCGATACTTCACTAGGAGCTTTTTAGACGCGAACTTTTGAATTACACAATTTAAGGACGTGAAAACTAATTGAACAAAGTTGTTTCAAGATTTAAATATTCCTTTATTATGAATTTATTCTTTTTGCTGACTTTGATTTTTAACTAAATACTTATTTTTCTCTTCGATTAATTTTCTGATATTATTTCTTTCACTTTATTTTTTTACTTGATTTTGTTTTAGCTTCTTTTTAGATAATTATTTTAACCACTTGTTTTCAATTTAAATATGATATATTTCTTTCACTCAACTTCAATCTTTAATTAATATGCGCGATTACTTTGATTACACAGCCACACAAAAAAATAAAGTGTTTTGATCTGGGGTCGAGACATATGTATTCCGATGTATTTCGATGCGCTGAATCCGAATCCGCCCTCAGAATTTGGCCAATGGGTCCTGGTTTCGCCCTAACCTGAAAAAATACCCTAAAATCGTTAAAATTGTCACTTTTGATTTATCAAAATTGAATCTAACCGCATATTGATAATTTTCTAAGATCCCTTAATTTAAATAAACTATTCTATAAGCTTTTAAATTGAAAATTCTTATAAAACATTAAATCTATCGAACCTAACCTCAAAAACACATCTAAGATTCCAAGCAAACAACTTATACCATACACAGCGCAATAAAAAATAGGTAAGCTCATGAAAGTTACAACTTAGGTGTTTCTATGACTGCTGATTACGAATCCGGTGTTAGTTTATCAAAATTCAAAATGGAGGATCCAATATGGCGAACAATATAATTAAAATTTGTTTTGATTGGCTTGAAAATCGTTACTCGGGGGTTTTCGGGGTCGCTGATGACGAATCCCATGTCGGTTTCTAAAAATTCAAAATGGCGGATCCAATATGGCGGTTTTTAATATTTTAAAGATTATTTTAATTTATTACTCGCGGTTTTCCGGGACCTTTGATAACGAATCCTATATCAATTTTTATAATCTTAAAGTCTTACGAATTGTTAGAAAACAATTCGTAAGACTTTAAGATTACACGGAAAAAAATTTTTACCGTGGGGAACAGCTAATTTCAAAAATAAATAACATAAAGAATCTATTCAACTAATTCAATGAATGATTTTCAATGCAGTAGTCAAACTGTTTCTCTGATATACAGAAAATGAATTTCACTGGTCAGCCATATTGGAAATATTTGACAGTTTACCATTCTCATAGAAATTTCTCTAAAATCACAAATGTCAAATTTACATTTCTTACCTCTAAATACGTATTAATTTACTAATTTTACTTTTTATTAGTTATAATATAAAAAATATAATTAATAGAATTTGAATAAACGCTTTGAACATTAATTTAAAAATGTTTTCATTCAAGTGTTATTTTGAGGTTACGTTGTTTTCAAAAGATAACGCAAGAAATATCATTTTCGCTAAATCAACGAAAATGGATTATCGATGGAGCCAAATCAGTGAAACTTATAGCTATTATAGTGATTGTTATCTCTACTTTAGTAGAACTTTTTTTAGCGTGTATAAAAATTGATATAGGATTCGTTATCAAAGGTCCCGAAAAACCGCGAGTAATAAATTTAAAATAATCTTTAAAATATTAAAAACCGCCATATTGGATCCGCTATTTTGAATTTTTAGAAACCGACATGGGATTCGTCATCAGCGACCCCGAAAACCCCCGAGTAACGATTTTCAAGCCAATCAAAACAAATTTTAATTACATTGTTCGCCATATTGGATCCGCCATTTTGAATTTTGATAAACTAACACCGGATTCGTAATCAGCAGTCATAGAAACACCTAAGTTGTAACTTTCATGAGCTTACATAATTTTTATTGTGCTGTGTATGGTATAATTTGTTTGTTTATAATCTTAGATGTGTTTTTGAGGTTAGGTTCGATAGTTTTAATGTTTTATAGGAATTTTCAATTAAAAAGCTTATAGAATAGTTTATTTAAATTAAGGGATCTTAGAAAATTATCAACATGCGGTTAGATTCAATTTTGATAAATCAAAAGTGACCATTTTAACGATTTTAGGGTATTTTTTGAGGATAGGGCGAAACCAGGACCCATTGGCCAAATTCTGAGGGCGGATTCGGATTCAGCGCATCGAAATACATCGGAATATATATGTCTCGACCCCAGATCAAGACACTTTATTTTTTTGTGTGGCTGTGTTATTCACTTTCTATCTAAACTTTTATTCCTTTACTTTTTTGAGAAAATTCCCTTCTTCAGGGATATGAACTTTATCTGATCTACACGATCTACTCGGCCAAATTGCCGGACTTAAACTTCAGGCTACAATGGCCTGGACTAAAACTGCGGGCCTGAATTGCCCGGGCTAACTGCCGGCTACAACGGCCTGGCTTAAACTGCCCAGATTTCCCAGTGTCAATCAATTTTATTGAAAGACGATTTAGTGGGGAAATCGTTTGTTAAGTTTATTGCACTTGACTGTTGTCAAGCCAATTCTGCAAGCTTGCAGATTTAGGCAATGGCGTGATCCGAGTTCAGTGACTTGGATGCACCACTCCTTATATTGGGCAATTGACATATTTTAGTATTTCTTAATTATTTCTCAAAAGCAAAGTTAATAAACTCTTCAGAATAGAAAAAGAATAAATAAAGGAATTTTACAATTTATTATAGATTTCTATCCTTGAATTGTGCATTATTATAGAATATTATTTTATTAGTTTGGATGTTTGTTTTTGACAACTTGTTTCATAATATCAAAACAAAGGAATGTTTCTTTTGTGAGTTTACAAAGGGTTATTTGTGTAAATGTTGATGTGATGTTTAACAAAATCTCATGTTGCGTGTAATTGTTGCATGTAATTTTAGTTTAAATATAATTAAAAAAGGTATTAACAATATAAAAAGTTACGGAGTTCAGCCGTAACAGTTAAGAAAAAAAAGCAATTTTTTTCAAAATTTTTTCCAATTTTCTTTAATAAATATTGATTTTTTGCTAACCAATGTTCTCAGCTACAGTAAAATTTGAATTTTTTAGTTTCTTCTACTCCCAAGGAGCATAAGAAAAAATAGTGCAATACATATTTTTAGTCAAGGAAAAAATGGAAATTTTTTTCAATATTTAAAAAAAAAAATTAATTTTTTGCTAGCCAATGTTCTTGTCATTTATAAGATATGCTTTATCTACTTCACTCTACTCCAAGAGGAATAAGAAAAAATAGTTCACTATTTATTTTAGTCAAGAAAAAAAATAAATTTTTTTCAAAATTTTTTCCAATTTTCTTCAATAAATATTGATTTTTTGCTAACTAATGTTCTCAGCTACAGTAAAATTTGCATTTTTTAGTTTCTTCTACTCCCAAGGAGCATAAGAAAAAATAGTGCAACATTTGTTTTTAGTCTAGGAAAAAAAAAGAATTTTTTTCAAAATTTTTCCAATTTTTTCCAATTAAACTTGATTTTTGCTAACCAATGTTCTCGTCTTTTATAAAAAATATGCTTTATCTACTTTACTTTACTACCAAGGGCATAAGAAAAAATATTACACTATTTATTTTAGTCATGGAAAGAAATAGAAATTTTTTTCAAAATTTTTCCAATTTTTTTCAATAAAGATTGATTTTTTGCTAACCAATCTTCTTGTGTTTTATGAAATATGCTTTATCTGCTTTACTTTACTGCCAGGGGCATAAGAAAAAAATTACACTATTTATTTTAGTCATGAAAAGAAATAGAAATTTTCTTCAAAATTTTTCCAATTTTTTTCAATAAAACTTAATTTTTGCTAACTAATGTTCTCGTCTACTGTAAAATTTGCTTTTTCTAGTTTATTTTACTCCGAAGGAGGATAAGAAAAAATAGTGCAATACATATTTTTAGTCAAATGAAAAAAAAGAATTTTCTTCAAAATTTTTCCAATTTTTTTCAATGAAACTTGATTTTTGCTAACCAATGTTCTTGTATACAAGGAAAATTGTTTTTCCTAGTTTATTTTACTCCCAAAGGGCATAAGAAAGAAAAGTGCAACGCTTATTTTTAGTCATGGAAAGAAATAGTAATTTTCTTCAAAATTTTTCCAATTTTTTTCAATAAAACTTAATTTTTGCTAACTAATGTTCTCATCTTTTGTAAAATTTGCTATTTCTAGTTTATTTTACTCCGAAGAGGGATAAGAAAAAATAGTGCAACACTTATTTTTAGTCAAGGAAAAAAATAGAAATTTTCTTCAAAATTTTTCAAAAAAATTGATCTTTTGCTAGCCAATGTTCTTGTCTTTTATGAGATATGCTTTATCTACTTCACTCTACTCCCACGGGCATAAGAAAAAATAGTTCACTATTTATTTTAGTCAAGAAAAAAAAGAAATTTTTTCAAATTTTTTCCAATTTTCTTCAATAAAATAATATTGATTTTTTGCTAACCAATGTTCTCAGCTATAGTAAAATTTTACATTTTTTAGTTTCTTCTACTCCCAAGGAGCATAAGAAAAAATAGTGCAACATTTGTTTTTAGTCTAGGGAAAAAAAAGAATTTTTTTCAAAATTTTTCCAATTTTTCCAATTAAACTTGATTTTTGCTAACCAATGTTCTTGTTTACTGTCAAAAAAGGTTTTTTTCACTTTACTTTGCTCCCAGAGGCATAAGAAAAAATAGTGCAAAGTCAATTCGATTTTAGATTATAATGTTTATAATCTATTGGGGATACAAGAAATATTTGTAAATCATTAAAAGGTTGTAAATAGATTATAAAGTGTATTAGTGAGATTAAATTCAGTAAAATTTTATTCTTTATATTCCTAATTGTTTAATTCATTTTTTCCCGTGAGCTATTAAGAAATGGTTCTTTTAACTACATAAGTCCTAAAAGTAACAACTTCCAGCAGTTCCTTTAACTGTTTGAAAATAGGAAGTTTAATTTATTTTGTAACTTACAAGTATAGGATATTTTTAATACAGAAATCTAATAAATATCTTCATTCTAAACAAAAAAGTGTATT